ACATACAGACCGGTTCCCGCTCACTGGCTGAGCGAGGTGTGGGAGCAACACCGAGGCTTGCAATCCCGCTGCCGGTCCCGGTCTGGTACGGGAGCAACACTGAGGGTTGCGATCCGTTGCCGGACACGAAAAAAGACAAAAAAAAAAAAAAAATTTAAAGTGCCTACAAATTGCCTGGGGATCCTGTTAAAATGCAGATTCCAACTCAGTCCTGCATTTCTGATAAGCTCCCAGGTGCTGTTGATGGATCCATGCTGTGAGTAGCAAGGGCAAAGAACTTGGCAGTGAGCTAAACAGCTACAAAAACCTAACTGGATTCCTTTGGAGATATTCAGTCAGTCATTTTTCTTTGTTGCTAATGAATAAGTCACTTTGGCTTTGGAACAGATGCAATTCAATGCTGTCCTTAATGACATTATTCATATTTGGTGGCCCAGGCGACTTATTGTTTTAGCATCTTTATCTTCATCAGGAATCAAAAAACTTTAGAGCCAGAGCTGTTTGGATGAAATGCAAACAAGAATTTCCTAATAGTATTTATTTTAAACATGAGCAGAGGTTACAGAGGAAGTTGTGAAAGCTTTCTCAGGAAATCTTTAAATATAAAGTTGACTCCCATTGGATGTGCTCCCAGTTGAGGCAGGGGAAGGGGCCTCTACAGCATCACTAGATCTCAGCTAACATAAGCAGAGCAGCCCACACTGGGGATAGATGGGCACGGTCAAAATATTTGCTGTATACCTTGTCTAAAGGCAACATTTCAGCCTGTCTCTACCAAGTGTGTGAGAAAGACCTTTATTATCTCAATTCTTTTTTAAAAATTATTTCTCAAGTTCCTCCACTTGGTTCCATCACCATGGTCATGACACTGTCATCTCTACATTAGGCAACTATATCAGCCTCCACACTTTCCTCCCTGCATTTCCTCTTGTCCCCAATCCATTCTCCAATAAACTCCACAGGGATTTTTGTAAAAGTAAGTGTGATCACATCACTCCCCTTCCACTGCACTTAGGCTTAAATCCAAAGTCCTAATGTAGCCCTGCGAGATCTGGCCCCTGCCTCCCTCTCTAGCCACCTCTGTGTCTCACCACCACTTCCCCTTGCTTTCATGCCTGCCCCACTGGCCTTCTTTCAGCCTCCAGAAGGCCAAGGATTTGTCCCCAAATCTTTCACGCCTACTGTTCCCTCTGCCTGGAATGCACATCTCCTGTTCTTCATTTGCTAACTTTGTTCATCTCCAGGTCTAGGTTTCAATGTCATTTCTTCAAACAGTCCTTCTCTGACCCCTAATCTAAAAAATTCTTCCCATTAGACTATCTCATGAATCCCTGTGCTTTTTCTGAATAGCACAAATGCAGATGATGACGCTAGATCGAGCTGTAGAGTGTAAGCTACTACTAGACTGTAAGCTCTGGCGGGGCAAGGATCATCTCTGTTTTGTAAAGCACTGTACGCCCAGCATCTAGCACTGTGTGTGGCACACAGAGGCTCAATAAATGTTTGTCTAATGAGTC